GCTATCCAAATCTTTTGATCATTTATTTGTCTTCTCCATGTTTGGTCTTTATCTATTAGTATTTTAGATACAAGTCCCTCATCAGATATAGGATTTGCAAGTAATTTCTCCCATCCTGTGGGTTGTCATTTTTCTTGATGGTATACTTTTCATTGTGAAGTCTAATTTATCCATTTTTTTCTTTGGTTATTTGTGCTTTCATTGTCATATCTGAGAAACAACTTCTTAATCCAAGTCCATGCATCTTTACATCTCATTTTCTTCAAAGAGTTTATAATATTAGCCCTTAAATTTATAGTATGTGTCCATTTCAATTAATTTTTATATATGGTATGAGAGAGGGTTCAGCCTCATTCTTTTGCATGTAGATAGCTAGTTGTCCCAGCAGAGCCTTTCCAGTGTCTTCTGGCTTGTTCTTCCCCTCCCCAAAGCTTAGTTGTTAACTTTCTCAGTTTTGGTAAGCAGTTAGCACTGGCCTATTTCCTTTCTATGCTTCTAAGTTTTGCTAACAGCCTTCTTTGGCAGGGATCACTTTTCCTGTTTGCTTTGTATGTATGGGTTTATACCACTTTTAGTCACTATCTTTTTAGTGAGGTATCTGGAGTGAATGGAGAAAAACATGTTTGTCTGATGCACCATGTTTAACCAAAAGTATCCTTACTATTAAGTCTTAATGTATATTGATGTAATGAATTTATATTCTAAGTAGGGAAAGCCCAAGTAGGGCAATGCCTCAAGAATTAACATAAGTAGAATAACAGAGTACCTGTATCAGTATTGTATAGAACACTTATATGTGCTAAGCAGTCCTTTTAAATGTTTGCGTGTATTATATATATACATGCATTACCCTACCTATCACCCATGCCGTGGGTGTTTCATAAATCACTCCCATGACGGAAATGCTTAGTTTGGGCAGCCTCACCCTGGAGCCCTTATGTGTTACAAAATGGTACATCATATTCTAAGTTACAGGTAATCTTTTTGTTTGTTTGTTTTCAATTTTGTCAAATCTTTAATGAATCCTTATTTTTTGTTAGCTTAGGCTATACCTGTAATTTTTCAAGTATATTTTGAATATTTATAGCTCATTATTTAATATGGCAAATTTAGCATCACTTTTGAGGTATCTGGAAGTAGAACACAATAGCCTAGGATACAAAAATCACAGTCATTTACAGGGGCCTGGCATGTATTCATTTTACAACACAGGTTGGTAGGCATTTTCCTCTTAATGCAATTACCATTAATAATTTGGGAGGTCAAAGAGAAATCAATTTGAAATCTCACATTAAACACATATAACTTGAAAGCTTAAATATTACACTCCATTATGTTTAAATAATCACAAAAGTGCCTTTTTAAAGGAAACATTTTATCTGCAAGATTTTTACATTTTAAGTCACTGATGATCTTGAATGCCCTGAGGGAATTCATCCCCTTATTCTTTGAAGGTTCACCTTTACTCTCTAAGGTTACTCATGTGCTACTATCATTCCTATGGATAATTCTTTGTGGGGTAAATATGTGTGTATATATATGTTTATACACAGGAGATTAATATAAGCATACAGTATATTATACTACATATAAGAGAAGTGAATATACATGTACACAAAAATATGTTCATAAGTGTTCACAGCAGCTTCATTCACAACAGCCAAAGAGAAGAACCACCGATGTCCACCAGTTGATGCATGGATAAACAAAATGTAGTCTATGCACACAATGACAGGAACAGTTTACTGCCTCTCAATTCCTTGACCAGCTTTATTCAAGCCATGAGACAACCTTGAGCCTTCTACCATCTCAGCTGCCTCCTCCCAGGCAACTCCTGATGCCTATCATTACCTACAGCCACAGCTCCACTTTTTTCCTTTTTAAGGAACTTTAAAAAATTATTTATTTTTAATTATAGTAGTTTATTTTTACATCATTTTGTGCCTTTTTCCATCTCAGTTGTAATCCCTGTGGGCTTCCAATCACCAAATCACCCGTGTGCTATCACCATAGTCCCATGCACCTACCCCTTCCCCCCATTTTTGATCCCATTCCCCATTCCACCCCTGGTATATAGTTGTGCATTATTATTTTTCCCCCATGGTCCTTTATGAAATTTTTATTTATTAGAATATTTTATTTATTTATTTTTGCATAGAAGAAGTGGGGTATTGGGTTGAGAGGATTCACCAGAGACAGAGTGGGGGGCAAAATAAGTGGATCTATTAAAATACACTGCTAAGGGAGCAGCAGGTGAGACAGGAGTGGTCTGCCTTGCCACGTGGGTCAGTTGCCTGGCTGGGGATTGGACGCAGGCATTGGCAGTGATTGTACTGAGAGAGACTTCACCCTTATGCCTCCACAGAGGCCCACAGTTCCTCTTCTAACTTTAATTTCAACCCTCCCATCTAACCCACATATTACCTTTTCAGATTATTCCCTAGAGTACCTAAAATTCAACAATTCTTCAACCTGATTGGAAACACCAATCTATTCACTCTACTATTCACCATTCCTCACCCTTGATAGCCACATCTTAAGTTATAATGTCTTTGCTTCTCCCTCAACTGCTTTGCTCACCTTTCCCCATACTTGCCTGACCAAACTTCATCCCTGGTTAATTTAAAAGTCCCTACTCAGTGCCTGCACATGAGCAGCTGAACTTGAATGGAGAAAAATGCACAATTATATTGACTGGCTTCACTCTATGTTCATGACCACTCACTCAGGTGAACTTAGTGCCTGGAAATCTTCCATGTTTCTTATAGCCTATTTCACTTTTCTCTCTGCTCCCAATCTTACCCCTCATTTAAGTTGACTACTACATTCATGTCAGTAGACTAAACTGCTATAACAAATGTTATGACTCCAACTCAACAGAAATCATGTTGCTCACATCATAATCAAGAGTGGGTATTCCAGGTCAGTGGGCAGGCAGCTCCCCTTTATCCATGCACCTTTGTTCATGTGGTTCAGATGATTTGTGGTCATCGGCAGAATCCAGCTGGCAGGAAGGAAAAACATATTAAGAACAGTGGTCTGGCAGTGGTAGACATAATTTCTTCTCATATTCCACAAGCAGTAACTGAATAGAGTTCACTTCTTACCAAAAGAGAAGCTGAGAAGAAAAAATCCGTATGTTCAGGAAGAAGGAGAGAATAACTGATGGATAATTAGTAGTCTGCTAATGAGTCATCTGGTAAAATAATGAAGAGAAGCAACTAGAAAAGAATTTACTACGGCCTGCTATCAAGTCAAACGATTACTTCAGTGTCTCCCATTTATGTGGAACTGGGGTGGATTATATTTCTAGGTAGTCCCCAGTCATAAACAGTTTCCGAGTTTTCACTTAGAATAACGTGATGTTCTAATGACCACACTACCTAATCACAAAATTCAAGCATACCTTTTCTCGTGTCTTTGGGTTTGGGATATTGTTGATTAACAACCCCTTCATGCCCTGACTTTGTGAAACTCCAATTTATCTCGTTTTGATGATTCTGTATTACTTTGTTTCTCCTTCTTATGCCTTTTCTTTGCTGGCTTTTCTCATCTAGAGTCTCTCCCTTTTTTTTCTCATCCAGGTCAGAGCTCTCAAGCTTTTAGATGATGTACATCACTTGGTGTTCTCATGAAGTGGAAGATACTGATTCAGCTGCAAGGAGGGACCACTTTCCTCACAAACTCCCTAGTGACACCATGCTGAGAAGCCACTGACCATACTTTGTTGTAGCACAGTTCTGAAGAGGATGTTCGCCAAGATTCTGCCTTTTCTTTGTCTTTTTTCTTAGTGATATCACTGCCAGGCTAGTAACTTCTCAATCTATTTTCTGGTTTAATCATATTTCCTATCTAACAAAGGCTTTCTGTTTAGCTTTTTCTGTTTAGTGTTCTACTTCTAGCTGTCTTGACAATTTTCAAACTCATAAAATGTCCAAAGCTAAACAGACTTCTCAAAAAGCAGCTCTCTTATTTTCTCTTTCTTGACATAATTATCAACAAACTCACAACTTCTTCCTTGGTTTCTCTCCTTCCTCCTTCAGATATTTATCTTCATTTATGTTCTCAGGCTATCTCCTTTGCTGTAACAACAATCAATTGCCAAATCTGTACATTTTGCTTCTACATCACAACTGAACCGTGCTATTTTAAATTCCTCCCGAACCATCTTTAGCCACTCACGTCCTTTTACTTGACCTGTTGTAGGTCTACCTGGAAGTTTCCCCACGTCCTTTCTGCATCCATCCACAATAAAATCTCGTTTTTATTTCAAAACTTTTAAATACAGATTCTTCCACTTGTCACCAGATACCCTCCTCCTTTGCCTCTGTTACTTATCAACATGTTCTAGAGTCTTAACAATTTTTTTTTTTTCTGAGAAGACCTTTCATGTATCTCCCTTTGTAGAGGTTCTCCTGTTAACTCATCTTGCTGTAAAACCCTCACCCATCAAGGTCAATCCTAAATGCCTTCTCTAAGGCCCCTTTCTTTTCTTCCACACAGATATGAGCAGGACTCTATTTTCACACAGCACCTGCCATGGTTTGCCTTCTATCATAACCTTAATCTTTGTCTTATTCCTAACTCTAGGACCTCACTTCTGTAACCCAGTAGCAACATACTTTTTCTGTAACCCAGTAGCAACATACTTTTGGTGCGTGTGTGTCTTAGTTGAATTTAAGTGATTTAGGTAGACACTGTGATGCAAAGGTAAGTAGCACAAACTATGAAGTCAGTGCAGCTGCTTTTGGGCTCTGCCACTGATTGTGAGGCTTTGGGTAAGTCACTCGGGTCAGTAAAATGAGAATATTGCCACCGGATGGAGCGTCAGGGGCGATAACGGGAGAGTGCTGTGTTGGACGGAGAACTGAGCTCTACAAGAAGCCTCGTTTATTTCCTTCCACACATTTGTCTGATGCAGACCTGCTCTTCAAATCTTGGTCTGCAGCATCGTCCCTACTTTACTCATCAGACGTCGGGACCCGAGTGTGGCTGGGCACCCGGACCACCAGGTTCCGAGGCTCTTTTCCATTCCCGGGATCTCGCCCGCTCTCCGCTACGCAGGTGAGGACGCCGAACCCCGGGGAACGGCCGGGAGCCCTATTCTCTCCCGAGGCCTCCCTCTGCCCGGTAACCCCCAGACCGCGGCGTCGCCGCCTACGTGAGACGTTTGGACCCTGCCCGGCCCCCGTAGCTCCCCTTCTCCAGCAGGTGGTTCTGGTCTTCTCCCCCTAGTCTGGGTGCTCACGTCACCGGCGAACCTCGACCCACGCGCCAGCGCCACCACCCCCCGAGAAAATAAACAAACCCCCGCGCGCGGCTGGCGCGC